TGGCTATACCATCAATCTGCTTTGAAACTGGCTGTAAATCTGCTGGCAGACGGGACCGAATTAAACATCAAGATCGATATCTTCTGTCAGCCCAAAAACTCTTGAACATTTGTTGATGGTGGTACGAAAAGCAGGGTCTCCTTGGTAGTCATCAAAGTTTTGTCCGTTTTCGTGTAGCGTGTACATTACTCATTGCGGGATCTGTAAACAGAACGGAAGGCTTAATATTCTGGAGCATTTGGATCTGGATTACTAATACTAATAGATTTATTACTAAGCAACCAGGGTCACACTCACTCCGTTCCGGAGCTGCCTGATAGGCTGATAACGCTAAAAGGTAGGTTTTGGCCCACCAGCTTGATTAGCAAGAGCGATATCGACCGAATTCTAGGAAAGCCTGACTTTACAGAAACGCGCAACATTCTTGGGTACAATATGGGTGGGACTCATATGCGGGAACTAAGGCCTAACTTTGATGATATTAGCTTCACCGCCAGCGTGCTATTCTTGAGATCTGATTGGGATATGACCGAGAAAAATAATAGTCGGTAGGATGCCGTTTGAGAAATGGAGAGGGATAAGCAGACAACGGATGAGCGTCTGTGGAAAAGACAACGGTGTGATCGAAGGGAACAACCAAGAAGGAAATCAATAGCATGAAAGCGCTATTCGAACAACTAACCTGGGGACGCTCAGACTGCGAGTCCAAAGCTTTATGCTAGCCCTAGCCATGTCAAATCTAATAATCATACTAGTAATCTGCGGTCTGTGAACTTTCAACTTTCACTGCTTACTTCTATTAGCAGAATTGCTGTCCTTCCCCCCCACAGCCAAATTCTTCTCTTATCTGCCGCTGCCTACTACGTCTATCCCATGGACTCAATTAACATCATTTAACCCCTCATGAACTTTAACCCTTGGCTTGTCGAACCAGTTTGGTCGGCCAATCTTTAACCGGGGTTTTGACGTATTTGCGTTACTACGTGTTTTACCCGGGCGTGCGTCGGCAACTAAGATTGATTGCTATTTTCTCCGGGCTTTATTGGACTTGGACTACTTCGTGCAACAGTTTAGACGGAGACCCCCATAATTTGAGGTTTGTAGCCCTATTATTATACATTTTATACATGTAGTACCGCATCTTTTGATAAATCTCAAGGGTCCACAATTTCTGGCTTGTGATTTTGCGCGTCGCTCAAGTCGGCTTTCCTGAATGCGTCGAAGTATTCTACAACTGCACCCTAAGATGGTAAGGCTGATGGTACAGCGTAGAGGACACCAACGAGACAAAGGGGGTTGAAATGCCCAGAGAGATAGGTAACCGCAAAATGAATGAAATTTTGGTGCATGGAGGAAACGCACTAGCGAGACATGGCAAACGAGCTAAATTTTATTAGGAAAATGATTGAGAAACTAATGAAATACTGGGTAATATTCTGCATGCAGGGCGGATGCCACAGGGAGGGCGTTCAGAACAGGTTTTTGCGCCGCTTGGGCCATAAGTCAGAGTAGGCTCAAAGGGCGGCTCCCATGCGATTTTCAAGAATAATGGCACTGCCGCGTCAGAAGCATAAAAAAAGTCATTTCCAAAGATTTTACACTGGGATCGAAGGCCTCTTAGTTGAGAAGAAGCAGCAAACATTTACGGGTGGCGGAACGTTGGCTACCGGGTACAAATTTCTGACCAGTTACGGCTTATCTCGATGTTGAACCCTCAGGGTTTCCGCTCATTCTTGTCAGCTACCTCTTTTAATGTAGATTCAATTGCTAGGTTAGGGATCGCATTTTTAAACAAAATGAACTAACACAACAGGTACGCGTTGTGAATGTACCCGCACTGGCTGCTGGTAAACAAGAGAATAACCAACAAGAATCCCAGGTGTTACCCTGAATAACTGGATCTTTCAGCCTTCCACTCCCAGCTGAATTATGGCGGTTAGCCTCCTAAATTCTATAGTTAGTGATTGCGGAAGACTTTTTGAGCGCATGAAGACAAAAATTCGTACCAAAAAATTCACCATAGACTAAATAACAGACGCACTGTAACGATCGTTCACAAAACGTAGAGCTGGAGAAACGTGTCACGACTAAGCAGTGAGAGGCGAAAACTAGCTCTTCGAGAGCGAGGTGTTTATGCGTTGACGCCCAGGTTCCTAAATTTCGGATAATATTTCGAATTCGGATTCGTTATTGGTGATCAGCGGGGCTTGGTTTATCTGAAAGGCAGGAATAGCGAAAATGTAGCATCGCTGTTTATTAACATTGCGTTTGGTGATAAGCGTACCACTGAAGGATATCGCATCAGATGTCATAAAGTGGGAAAGTAAGCAGCACAAACCAGTCCGCTGTTGGATTATTTGATTATTACCTCTGGGTTCCCACACAGGTAATCCAGAATCTTTTGATGCCGGGAGAGCGATTCTCTGAGGGCTTGATTCTGATTGATCAAAATTCTGACCAATCAGGACATGGCATTTTGGGCCGTGGCGCGCTCGTGTTCCACATGTTCAGCCCTGGCAGAAGATGCACCAAGCGTATCTTTACTACCGGACAGTGCACCGACAGGTCACTTTTTCAACTGTTCTATCTGGATAGTTTCCATTGATTTCATGGCTGCTCTTGACTCTGGATGGTCAAGACCTATGAGGTGTCATCAAAGGTGTCCTAAATTTACATCCCTTACGAAGGTACTGCATCTGAAATTTCATTGGCACGTACGGGTGTACAGCAAATGCAAAGCTGCCTCTCAACATTCTTCTTCAGCTTTGTCAGTGACGTGCTAGTCGAAATTCATCTGCCTGCCTCCGAAACCTCGGAGGTGGAAATATCTGTTTTGAAGACTGAAAAATCACGATAGCATTCGTTATCGATAGCATTCGCACTGCATGTCGTTGGGACTTAGGTCGAAAACAAGATTACATTCACTTATTACTGCCCGCTTTTGAGGGCTTCTGGTTGTTCCGTCTAGTAATGGGCGAAAAAGCTCGTTAACTGGTGTCCAATATGAGAATCTTCAGCGTTTGAACTTATGGTGATTCCTACATGGTGGACACTGACACGCAGCCTAACGGGCACCAGATACTCGAAAAGAAAAGGGCGGACAACGGAAGTTCTTTGGGGCCGTTTGAAGTTGCCTTGACGTGGTGGAGTTTTGTAGACGCATTACTGGCATACAACAGGAAAGTTGTGTGGGGTGGATAACCGGGAGGTTGTCCTGAACGATTTGACGGTGTACAAGCCCTACATGCTGTAATGTGGAACGGCTGACTTGGCATAAACAGTAAGTTTGTTGGTATTATGTCAAGGTCTAGGGGTCGAGTAGCAGGAGCGATGTGATGTGTGGGATGCGGTTAAAGGGGATTGAACAAAGCTGTCAGTTTGGCCAATATCATGAGAAAAATGGATGCTTCCCGGTCAGTCAGAGTGAAGAGTGGCATTTGGTTGAGGCACCAATCCTTGAACCTTGGGCACAAAAGTCGCCCGCATGCTGGTGGAACCCTGTTCCAGAGTCCACAAAGCAGTTTTGTAAACATCCTCACTTAGCTTTTCTACCCAAAAAGCGGCTTCCAGATGCCCCTAAAAACAACTCACTGTTTTTGAAAGGAGACTCTACAAAACGGCGCTACAGTCTGTTTCTGATCCACTGCTCTGTAAGTTATTCGTTGCAGCAGGTCCCAACTGTCTCGTGGTCTCCTGCCACCACGAGGACACTGGACCTTACGGGAATGGGATATTCACCTCCGTAAACCATTGAGCTCGATTGGGAAGTTTACGCATGACACTCACAAAGCCTCTCATGCCGGTGGGTATGAGGTAGAGGTCTGATTAACATAATCTCCAGGTCCCTTGTGTGGTGACTTGGTCCTTAAAGGTGTAGACTGCTCTAAAGGTGGAACACAACAGAGCAGTTTTATACCATATTCCGGATTTGTCTTTCTGTTTCTCATCAGGTGCGTGCCACTGGTTATAAAAGTAAAATTTAGGAGGAAAAATGACCACATCAATGCTTGTTCTATAGTTTACCTCGGTAGCACCAGAGATACGTTTCTGCTTACATAGATCCGTCCTCAACAAGTTTTAGAGCTCTGTTTTTGTCGTGTTTAACACGATATCAACTGCGATCGCTTGATGGACGCGATGCTTTCTCCCAGTTAGGTGACAGGCAAGCGACGAGGCCAGTAGTGTAGATCGTTGGTCTTGATGTGTCAGTGCATCCGACTGGTTAAGCTGTCTTCGTACTCTCAATGGCATGTGTCCCCAGCCTTAGTCGTAGTTGCTGTTCCGTTCTGCATACGCAGTTGGCAGGGCGCCCACATGTTAATCGGTAGGTGTTATTAGGTTTCACGGACGGTCATAATGGAACCTCGATTAGCAGCACTGAAACACGGTTTGTCTTGTGTAACAAGTCAAACTTCTGTTGCCACCGTCCACCAGATTCAACGTCATCTACTGATTCATCTTTAGGTACACTGCTTCCCATTCTGACAGGACGGAACGGCAATTGTGACTGGTGGTGGGAGCATGTGCCGTTGACAGTACGAAGACAAGTGGGCTGATCTACACGCATATTGTACTAGATCTTAACAGCTCGTACGACCAAATGGTGAAAAAGAAAATATGCACTTGGGTCTTGGAGCTTGAGGCAGACTTCCAATTTCGTTGAGTCTTTTTCGGTGTGACCAAAGAAGTTGCCTTTCAACCCACAGAAGGTTAGATAATAAAAACTGAAAACACACCATGCTTGCTTACATATGTAATGTTATATTTTGTTGCCGAACCGAGCGTAAACCGTACCCTAGTTTTGTTCATTTTCGAACGCTTCCAATAGATCTGGCATCTTGGTAGTTATGTACCAGCGTTTTATGCTGGTATTACTGCCAATACTGATAAAGGTAACTCCTAAAATTCTTTCTGGACGTCGTTTGTCCATTCTGTTCAAGGGCTAATCGCTCATTCCTACCGTCATAGTTCATGTTATAAAAGTGGTCTTTTCTCGCTTTTAGCTGAACATTCGGAAATCGGTGATTGTTGTTTTTAATGGATATTGAGGACCTTCACACTGAACTGGATGTACATCGGACTGAAGAGCGGAATGCTTCTGTAAAAGTCCGTTTCCGAACTCGCAGGCAGAACCCAGCCGATGCGGATTTGGATAGTGTTACAACGATGGCTATACCAGGTTCCGTTTCCTCTATCCTTTCTCTCTCATCTACTTCGGTTACGTGTCTCGTGCTGCAAGACTTTCCAGGACGTGTTTAAATGGATTACTTGATTCCTTTGGTTACTTCTCACTAGGGAACTTTCAGAAGGTACCAAAGCACCTCCACGGTGGTAGTGTTTTTCGCCTTGACTGAGGCGGCTAGTGTGAAAGCATTCAGCTGCAATCTACCGGAAGGAAGTACGAGGACTGAGATTCTGTCACATTGACCAAGCCTAGACAGGAGCATTTGGGGTACAGAGGTTGACAAACCTTTCGGTCAGCATTTTCGCGATCTAACCTCGGAGCCATCTCGAGCTAGTGTGAGCGGTCTTCCACGCGTTGTACTCTGGATTGTAAAGACTTAAGTTTTCACCAGGTCTTGGTGCAGTCTGTCGGTCGAACCAAAGTGAACACTTGAGACTTGCAGTAATTTTAAACACAGCCGAAACCTAGCAATGTATTGACAGTATATAACTTCAAAATTCATCGAGGTCGTTTAGGACGGGTTAACTGCAATGTCTGGCCATTCTTAAATAGAAACGGCAAAACGTGATGGCCCTGTGAGGTAGTCTGAGACGGCCCTTCCACCCGCGTTGCTTTGTGATGATATCTCCCATTTAAAGGAGTGATGGATATTCTTATCACAGTAGTCCTATTCCAACACCCGTGGGCATGCAAGAGTCTGTGGAGGGTATTCTCCCGAGTTCATCAACACAATTGCTGTCCATCAGGGCTGCTACTGACCCCCTTTCTTCTCAAGTCTGGTAGTCGAGCTGGTTATCGGAAAAATGTTCCGTCTTTTACACATGGCGGTTCTTGGAGAAAACCTTAAAGAGTTGGTGTATAGAGATGCTCCTGCTTACGTTGTGGTCTGATGTGTCAGAGTTGCTGGCAGCCCCAGCTGACAGAGAGCTGGGTCAACTGCATAATGTTTTTGGTGTTTTTCCTTTTGGACCAGACCAGCCATTTGGGTACCCAGGTCGTATCTTCCCTTCGATTCTTCAAGAAACGGGCTTGATGACTAATATCACATAGTTCATGCTTTTGCAATGGAGCAGACTGGATCTGGCTAATCGGGGTTTCACAGCTGATCACGCAGTTCGTACTGACGTTCATTTTGAAGTTAGTGAATGAAGCGGAACCGGTAATGTAACAGGAACTGATGATTCAAGTGTCCATACAGTTCACGGAAGAAATTGACCTTACTTTCGGTAAGCTAAGGACGGTTAACGGACTGTCCAGGTGTCCTCCAAGGCAGGGTGGTTTTCCAATGTAGTGATTCACTCCTGAGGGGACGTATATGCATGTGTTTGAGCAAAAGACTTTTATAAGGGGAATCGCTTCGTCAGAATTCGAATCATGCAACCAAGTCAGCGATATTTACGATGTGTGACCGGTTCATCTGTAGTGTGAGCCATTTCCTCTTACGTATCTTAGCGTTTCTCATTCAGTGTTTTCAGAAGACCTGCAGCGCTTCAGCGTGATCAGACGGTTACATCTACTCTCGCGGTGGCCAATTTTTTTTCCGTACAACAGTACGTCGCGCAACGCAGCATTCTACTTCCCTAATACCACATCGATGTCAAAGATATCGTAGCTTGGAAATGTGCTGCTTTGGGTTTCTATATTGGAAGAGTAATTTCACCTTAGCTAGGCTTCTGGGAATGAATCAGCTTTTCATGGGAGCCAATTTACTGAACTTTTGGATCCGTTGATCTCCAAACATGACGCTTGCTCCTGGTCAGTCTTAAAGTGACGCTCAGTAGCTTGGAAGCATGTACCAAATCCATCAAAATGATCACTTGCCATCCATTGTCGTCAGAAAATTAGGACGCATCAGTGAATCTTCAATGTGTGGTCGCTTCGGCTCAGTCGCATTTCTCGCTGAACGAAACTGTAACAACTGTAACCAGCGTCCATATCTTACGACTAAACTCAAAACTTCAGATTACGCAGAATCTGGTAGCAAAATGATGGATTTCCAACAGAGGTGGGAGGCAAAATCAGTCGCTCTTCCGGGGTATAGTTGCCACTCACCGACCCTCTGAAACGGATGGACTTTTCCACTACGTAANCTTCCGGGGTATAGATGCCCCTCACCGACCCTCTGAAACGGATGGATTTTTCCACTACGTAAAGTCTTCGCCTTCTCTTCTGGTTTCATTGTGGCTTTCATTCCGTTTGGAATGTTATGATGAAATGATTCGGGTCTGTTCATCCCCATTCTTCTTTTTCGTCGTTGCCCGTTTTCGTGCAGAACACTATCGAGTTTTCGTTCAGACTTGGGGATGTGCTCACAATACCAGTGACAGCGAGTACATGGCTGGTCTTCTGGCTCAGTACGGCTATCAGGTTATTCTGGGTGGCTCGACAAACGCGAAAGACAGTCACGGACCAGTTGACGCACAATCCAACAACTCCGAGTGTGAATGCTCTTCAGAACCTGCAGATGATTCCTGCCAGAAACGGGAAGATAAAGGCTGTTGTACAATGCCCGAGTCCCTCACTGCCGATGAAAGGGCCAAACAAGAAGCAGATATATGGGTTTTGAACAGTTGTACAGTCAAAGGTCCTGCTGAGGATCACTTCCGTAATGCTGTAAAGGCCGGGATGCGGATGGGCAAGCGGTTAGTTGTGGCCGGTTGTGTTCCCCAAAGTCATCCCGCAGCAGACTATCTGAAAGTAGGTGCAATCATCGTTCTCCTCTTCTTATCGCGATAGCCCATAAAGGTGTTTAACAGGCTGCTTCGAACGAAGTTTTTGTTTTGTGTGTTATCAAATAATTTTTCAAGATGGATTTTCCACCTGTCCACTATTGTCCACGGTCACTAGTGGACAAAATCATGTCAGCCAGACAGTCGATGACCGTTGTTGGGTCATCAGAGTTAGCTGAATTATCGGTTAATTAACTGACGATAGGTTGCTGACTACCTGTCCTTCTTAGACGACGAGCGCTGCACATGGGTTGAATGAACTATGTCGGATGCTGAAAAAAATCGTTCAGCTCTAACACCCTTCTGGCGCCTAGCTGCCATGCCACTCGAAGAAGGCACGAGGGCTGGGATACTGCCAGGTTGCCCAAACCTAGACAGGGGAAGTCGAGAGGCAGAGATCGGATTCGAACCACGGACCTTCCGGTCAGCAAATTCGCGCTCTAACCACTTGAGCCATTTCGCCCCAGATGCTGAAAGCAGGAGCTTAACCAGCTTCACACTAATGTTCCTAATAGTGACTGAATTCTAAAAATATCACTGCCTGTCTTGATCTCTTCTGCGCTGTACTTGCTGTCGTACGTGATTGTCATGGGATTGGTTTGTCCCGCGATGGGGATCCGTAGTAAACTTAGGAACATTTAGTGGTTTCGACCGGCGTTTCTCGGTCGCTTTCAAAACAGCCTTACTTTTATGTTCGTTTGAAATAATTTTCTTCCAGCTACAGTAAGACTACATAGTGATGTTGGATCTTTTCAGTTGTCTGTGAACTGTTGTTTCACAAATTGTTGCGTTTTACGCTCCTGACGGATTTATAGCGACTATGAAAACACGTCCACTCTCTACGCATGACTGTTTGTGTATTCCCATTCATCATTTGGTTGGTGACCTATCCAGGTCGTCTGACGGTTTATGAACCCATTCTGCATTTAATACGTTTTGTGTGCCACATGCCAATAGACAGCCTTATATCCTATGCATGCTACTGTTCTCTTACCGCCATTGTCACGACACAAATAGGCATCCAATGAGTTTTATCCTTTCTAGAATTCAGATCCAAGAATATCAGGGGATTTCTGATTCGATCGTTTCCGTTTGTCTGCATCTACCTGTTGTTCCCCACCGAACGTACCGATCTCCGCTTTTCGTGCTATAGGGCTAAAGAGTTGTCCCGGACTCCGAGTTGAGCGCCACGGTGTGCGCATAAAAAATGGGTCAAATCTTTAAACTCCGAAGCTGCTGTCCGAAAAATGTCTGAGCGCTGAGCTGCTATCGAGTTCCTTGATAGAAATGCCAAATTTGGAGGTGCGTTCAAACTAACAACCTCTAGCTCATACGTTGAAGTCGGCTGTCTCGACCTCTATATAATGAAACTTCCCATTTCCAGTTTCAACTCAACAACCAACATATGCTTCTGATCTCAGTTTCTATGCAATAGCAGCCACATTATCGTTAGATTGCCCCGTAAGTGTATTCCTGAAGACCTTTTCTTGGAACACGCAACTTGCCGATCGTCTTTTGACCCGAGCCCCCCACCCCAGTGCTAACAGTGCTTTGGTTCGCGCGCTTTCGGTTGGTGGTGTCTGTGATTTAAATGGACACGATTCATCTTTGTAGGGAATTCCATTGAGACTCTGTGACCAGGTCCTACACAGCTGCACAGATGGTGTAGTCTTGTCGCCCAACTTGTCATGTATTCTGTGGTGTCTTCGCCGTGGACCCTCAGACATTATTAGTTGCAGTGTGTCCATTGGGCATTCGCGCACTCTCGATTGGGTCGGCATTTCACTCTGTCATTAAGCCTACGTGTTTCATCTTCTGAAGACACTCTATCGAACTAGCAACGCCATATGTACAGACGACTCAGTCTTAGCATTCCTTGACTTCAAGGATGCGCTCTATTCTGTCGATCAGTCAGTACTGTTAATTGGGGGTGTCCCAGAAGTTACTGAACATAATCCGATCCCTATATTCACATACGTCTGGGCGTGTGAGGGTGTATGGTGAGGTCTTCAAAAGCTCCCCTGCAAAAGCTGGTATCCGACAAGAATGTCCACTCTCTCTGTTCTTGTCCAGCTTCGTCAGTGATGAAATAACGAGGCGAACACTAGAAGGTCTTCAAAACCCCGGTGTTCAAATTGACGCTAGTGAGAATTTTTGGGTCTGCAGACCACACTGTCTCCATATTCGAAGCCGAAGCCCAAGCACAAGCTTTGTTGAATTAACTGACCACCAACAAACCATCATTTGCCATGCACCTTCCACCTCCGAAGTGCAGAGACATGCTTCATAACGTGCAGTTTCTTAACACACCCCTTGCAATTTAAGAAGAAGCATTGGAGAATTTTACATACCTCGGTATTCTGACTAATTCACCGCAAGAATCTCAAAGGCTCGAATAACGTTTGCGAATTCGCCTCACCTGTGGCGTCCGGAAGGCTCATCAGTGGGTCTCAAGGGTCGTGTGTGCCCGGCTGAAGTGAGGTTGCATTATCATATGGTTGCGAAACATGGCCTCTGTCGATATATGGGGTAAGCCGTTCTCAGGTTTTTGACCACCGATGCCTTAAGCGTTGCTGTTGTCGTATGTAACGAGGTATTTGGTTGTGCAGAAATTGCTTCAATCGCCGAACACACCCGGCACTGTCAACTGCGGTGGCTACGCATGCGGAAGCACCGTCCACCGAGACGCGTGTTGTTCTTCGTGCCTCCTTCGGAATGGCGCAAACTGCGAGGCGGACAATGAACGGCTTGGCAGAAAGGTACGGTCAGCCTTTCAGGATAAGGTCCCCGCGACCCCGCCTGCGCTTGGCTGGGATTATTGCAAGAAATGGCGGCTGATCGATGTCATCAGTGTTCGTGTTGTCGGTTTTTTCAGATTGATTGAGTGTTTGAAATCACAGGTACCTCAGAATGTGGTAGCCAGCACCAGATCTCTCCCTCCCTCCCTCTTTTCTCTTCAATTGAAGGCGTTGATAGGTATAACTAGATGAACTTTGTGGTCGTATGACCTTGAAGCATCGGTGTCAACACTGATGTTATTGTATCTGATGATGTTGACTATTATTAGGCGTGTTCAAGTAGTTGTTGTGCTGGACATCTCAAGTTCTTACGTGAGTCATATCCCATGAAACCCTGATCAGTGTCTTAGCTAGATTCTTCTTGAGCCATTTGAGCGATCCAATGGTATAACTGATGATAAGTCACTCCGATTTGTTCTTACGAGTGTTCTCCTCTGTCCTGTGCTTCACACTCTGATTCAGTTGAGTTACCAGCAAGCTTTTCTTCTCTTTTCCCTTTCCTAGGGTGTCAGTATCATTGGAGTCCAGCAAATCGACCGCGTAGTAGAAGTAGTGGAAGAAACGTTACAAGGTAATTTTTATTTCCGGTGCTTCACGGTTGTTTTGTGAGACTGTTACACTTAGTTTTAAGCTGCTTTTGGGACCTTACTGTATTAACCAATCAGATGACGATTAGCTTGAACCAACCAGAAATAAGTTTGATGGTGCACTGTGACGAATTGGCTATCATTTCGAGCTTAGACGCGCTACACAAAACTGTTGGAACTGACGATGATGAGAAGATGCGAAAGGCCAATTATGACCTGATTGGTGAACAGAAGTCAGCTTTACACGTCCCTCTTTGTTTGATCGACTATGTCATTCAGACAGCCATTTGTTGATTTCCGTTTGATGCACTTCCGATCATCTTCCGTTGTTTGTGACTACTTAGTGGTAATCATTTGTGATGATACGTGTGAGTATTCGTATTTTTCTTTCAAAATAACATGCTATCTTTTAAGAGACATCCTACCAACTGAGGTCTCTACCGCATTTCGCAAATAACAACCAAGCCATTGAATAGATTGATATATTTGACTCCTGTGTGATTTTCAGGTGATTCAATCCGAATGACGTTCCCAATCCTTGACATTGGAACGCCAAAGTGTGTTTTGCCAAGTAGTAGAGACCCGTCGTTCATGGATAATTCGTAAAGCTTCATTTGTCACTCGGTAATGTGCAGTCATTTATACGACCTTCCTATAAAAACAGGAGAAAACAGGGTAACTGATAATGTATTTCGATTTCACATCCTTCAACTCAACGTAATCAGTTTATTTTCAAAACCTAACGATGATTTATTGAGTACTGTAACTCGGGTTGGCCTCTTCAGGAGGACCACCAGGCACAGTGAGGATCACGCGGTCCCCATCCTGGAAGGCGAGTAGCACCGACAGAACCCAAGCGTTTCGTGATCTCCTTCATACTCCTCTGCCAAGTCAAGGGTTGGCCACCTCTCTGTTAACGCCACTCTGAATTGGGCATGGAAAACAGCACTCCCCTTGGCAAACGATGGTTCGGCATACGCAACACATATCCCAACCAATGCAGCTTCTGGTGCTGGACACATTCTTCAATGGAAGTACCCGTTACACAACCGAAAACTCGCTTTCTAACGGCTTCGTTACGGATTCATCGACACCAACCCACACGAGTCATGGTTCTGAGACAACGATTGACGAACACAAGAATGGCCCATAAGATTATTGAACTTTTCAGCAGTGGCTTTTCTTGAGAGATTACTCCGTTAGTGTTGATGTGCCTTCCAAACTTGGTGTAGTTCGCCTGTAAACCCCAGTCGTCTCTTTTCGTTCCAGGCAACACTGTTCGTTTCCTGGACAAGAAATGGGCAGTATCTGAAGATGGAGACTCTCACTCAGCACGACGCCGCCTTGGTGGCGCTCGACTTGACCTTCCAAAGATTCGGCGAAATCCTCTGATTGAAATCTTAGCTGTCAGCACCGGTTGCCTGAACGCCTGCACCTACTGCAAGACGAAACACGCACGGGGTGTGCTGGCGAGTTATCCCATTGAGGAGCTGCTGGAACGGGCTAAACAAGCATTTGCTGGTGAGTGGATACCAACGATCGCAGCCGCGTAGCCTATTTGTACATTGTTCAAGATCACGCCATGGTTTACTGATTTCTTGACTTTCACAGATGGCGTTAAGGAATTGTGGCTGACCTCAGAAGATCTTGGTGCCTACGGTCGTGACTTGGATCGGACAACATCGGTTTATTCGTGTCCCTCCATGGCTGTTCGGTTTCCGCAGTGTCTCACACTGGCTGATCTCCTTTCTGGACTGGTGAGATTGATACCGGAGGGTTGTATGCTCCGCTTGGGTATGACGAATCCGCCTTACATTCTGGAGCAGTTGCGAGAAATGGCAGACGTGTTGTCACATCCGCGCGTCTATGCATTTCTGCACGTCCCGGTTCAGTCTGGTAGGTAGTGTCACATCAATTTCGGTTTATTTTTGTAAACCTAGTGGCCTTTGAAATCTAGGCACGGTAGTCGAAGCTTGTTCAGTTGGTGTGATGGTCTCAAAGTTAGCTGGTGACCGCGTATTAGACAAATGCAATTAGTAGTTCGTGTTCTAATCACTTTTAGTCTGAACAGTGTTCAGTACAAACCCTTGACCATGCCAGGATTCTTGATTGGCTTGTGATGAAACCGAATAGGGTGGTTAAGTGATGTTTGAACAAGACAGCAGTGATGTGGACGGGCGCCACTAGGATCTTCGCAAGCCGGAATCCAACCTGTCAACCATCCATCCGGAAATTATTACCGTTATGAATGTGACTTGAATGAACTACTCATAAAGTTGCTGAAAACTCTCAATAAATGGGAGATGCGGTTGAGTTTCCTGTTGAAACCAGATTGGTAGTATGACACTAACCTACTTCATTCTGTATCGACTGAGAGATTGTCTGAACTGTTACTGGGTCGGTATGACCAAGTGGTTAGAGCGCGAATTTACTGACCGGAAGGTCCGTGGTTCGAACTCGACCCCTGTCTTTCGACTTTCTCTGTCTAGGCCTGTGCAACTTGGCAGTGTCCTAGCCCTCGTGCAGCCTTTGGGCGGCATGACAGTTAGGCACCGAATGGGTGCTACAGCTGAACGATTAGATAGGCGTGACCAAAAGATGCGACCATTGTGAATAGCAGTCATTATACATGTTATATTTCCTGGTGTCTTCTACGATTAGTTTGCCGTAATTTTTAGTATCTCCTAATATTTTTAAAGATCTCCTAAAATCATTTCCTCGTTTCGACACAAAGTCCACTGTGAAACTGAGCGGTACTCCTAACGCAGTCAATTCATCTTTTTCCCCTTTACACCAACTCTATTTTGATTGCAAACTAATGTGCCGGCTGTTTCGCCTTGCTTGAATTCCAGGCTCGGATGCTGTGTTGGATTGCATGAAACGAGAGTACACAGTTGACGAATTCAGTCACGTGGTCACGTACCTCCAAGACCACATCCCACCTCCTCCCCTGTGAGTTGTTTATATGTGCCCATTTTCGTGGCTATGCACTATTGTCCGGAAAGTGCACAATGGCCGTCCACCATAGGTACGTGGACTGGTCGTTCGTGAAAGGATTCGAACCTCACTAGAGCTGCATAGTTTCTGGCTAATTCAATGAAGGATCGCTCCCATCTTTTCAGATCAGACAGCGTGACTTCTTACTCAAGGTCTCCCTTTTTTCTACCACATGCTTTTCACCTCCTCTTTGTCCCATCTAATCGATTTTTTCTGCCTGAAGTAGTACTATTACAAGGAAGAACTCAAGTACTTAAATAGACAGATGTTGGTCGGAACTCAATCCATAAACCTCTCGCCTACCAGGTAACGACTCCGTATCATTTCAGCACTGGAAACCATTGAGTTTTACTTCGCAACTGACCTCGTCGAAGGTGACAGTCTTGTTCCTCGGTGCAGCACTGTCCCCCAAAGATAATGCCCCCCCACCCCCTGAGGAGGAAGCACTTCCAAGAAGTGAAAAAAGTTGTCCGGTCCCACAGTTATTCCCGTTAGAGACGAACGAATATTCCGAAGGAAAGGCAATTCAAGACAGAGCACGGTCTGGTCACAGTCTCTGTGGTGATTTGTACAGGATTCAATGCTCGGGGAGCTAGATAGTGGAAGTGCTTTTGATCTCTTGGCTGTTACACAACTTAGCGATGTGCTAGTAAGGTCCGCTGCGGAATTCTGCCCGTTAGCGCCTTCTCAGTACGAGGATACTAGTACGCACTTGTTCAAGTTCGAATTTACTGCACTCATTTCTTGCTCTCTTTCTGCCTAACCCTCGACACCGGCCCAGCGATTGCTGTTAAGTAAGGAGATCACGATTAGTCTCATGAAAAGGTAATCAATTCGAATCCAATTCGAAATGCTCAAGCAGTTTTGGAATATGTACCCTTATAAAAAACAACAAGCGTGTGCTCCGTGGGCTTTCAGACCCCAGAAGAATTCAAATTACAGTAAATGAATTTGGGGCTATTGGTGTCAGGCGACTGTGCCGTCTTACAAGAAGCATCAACAAAAGTTGACGCGCAAGCTGACCAAACAGAATGCGAGACAATCGGACGGTGGATGTTTCAATTCCAAACGCATTCGGCATTGTTCAACTACCATTAGCTAGTTAAGATCACGGTTTTCTCTCGGAAAGTTATCAAAATCACATCGTTTCAATCCTTGTTTTTTCTATGCTTCAAAGGTTTGTGGTTTGTGGCCCTCAAGAGAGTGCCCTTTTAAGAAACGTAGCCTTTTGGAGCGTGATGTCTGCACCACCGCTTATTCGCATACTCTGGGCACCTCTGCAGTTAAACCATACCGTTAGGCATGGATTGATATCCCTTGAGCGCAGCCAATGGCTCATACACGCTGGCTCAGTGGTTAGAGCGCAAATCTATTGACCGGAAGATCCGTGGTTCGAACCTTCCCCTGCCTCTCGACATCCCCTGTCTAGGCTTGAGCCACCTGAAATAAATCGTTCAGTTGAAATACCCTGTCGGAACCTAGCTGTCATGCCAACCGAGGGAAGCACGAGTACTGGGATACTGCCAGTTTGTTCAAACCTAGGCAGGGAAGTCGAGGAGTAGAGGTTAAGTTCGAAGCACGGACCTTCCGGTCAGTAAATCCGCACTCTAACCACTGACCCGTCTTCATATCGAGTGGTAAACCGATTGGTTGTCATAGCCGTCTGTGAGTTGATTTTGTTGCTCTCCAGGGTAGCAGTTTACGGCCTGTACGCATTCACCCAACTTCTCTCGCCAACATCTACACCGGCTTGGCGATCGTCTGTTTCACTAGTCGCGATAAACACCGGATATGACAGGTAGTCCTGTGGGCTTCACAGTTGACGCCCAACTAGTCGACAACATTTGGTGACTGTTTCAGATCGAAGCGACAAGCAGTTGCGACACCGTGTCAGGTGACGGAAACTGTCTGGCCTCCGTGGAACTTTATCGATACAGCGAAATACCTGACTTTCAACAAATTTTCGCGTCCCTTTCAACGTGATTAACAGAACATCGCCAGAACAGCTTTTACGCCATTAACACAACCCAGTGGATGGCTCTGAGTATGACACCTTTCTCGGGTCCTTCCTGCAATCAACGTATTTTTAGTGTGATAAGCCAGCGGTACTTCCGGAACTCACGGAATCGGTACACGAAGATTGCGGATACTCGATGGGCTGTAACACAATAGGTATGCTGACTCTCACAAGCTAGTGATCGCGAAAGATGGAAGATTAACACCTGAAATAAAGATTAAATAGTACACTCGCGGTCCATCGACAACGCAGATTGCCAGTATCTTCATGTTTTCGAGCCTAGTTTGTACTTCTGCTCGGACGATGATACTGTTGCCACATTTAGTGTTACATACCATCAGTATGCTTTTGTCGGAGGTTGCAGAGTAGTGCAGTTTCACCGTACGACAAAAAAATCGTTCAGCTGTAGCACTCTTTCGGTGCCTAACTGCCATGCCACTAGAAGGAAGCATGAGGGCTGGGATACTGCCAGATTGCCCAAGCCTAGACAGGGGAATTCGAGAGGCAGAGATCGAGTTCGAACCACAGACCTTCCGATCAGTAAATCCGCGCTCTAACCACTGAGCGACAAGAAAGCATTTTGTAACTGACTGCAACCCCCGCCTGAGCATCGTCAACCGTCGCTGATTGGCTGCTTGAACGGTCAATCAATATCCGGATTTTCTGACCCTTAAATTCGTCGATTTTGACAGAATTAGCAGTTCCCAGTTAGTTCCGGACATTTCGGAGACTATTTACAGGAGTCTGACCTTCCTGCAACCGGGCGGGTTAATTAGAGTTCATTTTCGATCGATCTGGGTATGCATCAAGCACCGCAGTACGAGATGGCAGCATTTTTAGTGAAACGGTCGAATAAATTGCACACAGTCAGGCAGCAAGTGAAATCTCGGCACCAATAATCAACCCACCTCCATATATCGATGGTGAGTGGATCTGCAGGGACTCCCGCTTGACGCACTTCTAGAGAATCAGGTAAGACTGGAACGTGTGCTGCGGGACGTTCTTTGAAGCGCACAACCCTGCTCTTCCCGGTTTCGATAACGACATTGGTTTCTGTGTCCAGGGTTCTCAAAGGTCACCTTGGATATCGTTTCTCGATCGATTCTAGTCTCCAGTTGACTTTTTTCTGGTGATTTGGTCACAAGCGGCCAATTATTTGCGACTTTTAACTCCTGCCCATCTCCCGTTTAACTCAACATCCCTATTCTCACAGACCACCTGATGCAACTGACGATGCTGTCAATGGATCGGGTACACTGACGGTTGCGACCGATATAATTTGTGGGTTTCCCAATGAAACGGAAGCCGATTTCGAGGAAACCGTCAAGCTGGTCGAGCGATTCCGCTTTCCAGTCCTATACATCAATCAGTTCTTTGCCCGGCCCGGCACCCCAGCGGCAAGCATGTTCAGGTAATACGGTGTACAACTGGCAGTTACGGTGCACATCACTCACCATTGCTCTTGTCTGATTTATCTCAATCCTCAGTTCGCCATGTATCTTTTTACGCGGGCTTTCCGCAAGGACTTTGGTGAAGACCCAGTAGGTTACGCCTAACTCAGCTGGTTACACCTGGTTACATCACCCAGTTTTCAACCGTTCCCACGCAACAACTGCATACTTTTTCAGTTCCATTGGCACCGAACAAACCGGCATAATAGTACTAACAATCGTCCAACCCTCTCTGATTGTCATCCGAGAAAAAGAGGAAGACTGAGGTACTGCCGGGTTGCTCGAGCCTAGACGGGAGCAGTAGAGATATCGGGTTGGGTTCGAATCACGGACCTTCCGGGCCGTACGTGCACTCTTAAGCACTGAGCTATCTCATTCAAGCAGACATGACCCTGAAAGGTCTGAAATCAGTTAGGTGTTTCCGCCGTCAATGGTTTTGGCCCTGTCTTACGGAATGTGCACGATCAGCCGGACCACCGCTTATGAGTAGTATATCACCAGAATCTCACAGAGGATACAGAACTGTGAAAGATTCTTTCGCAAAGCGACTGAAAGACATTTTCTTCGCTCTTATTAGAACGCCCGGTAGTTGTAGGGGAGCAAAATTTTGTCTGAAGGGTGAGAGGGTCCTTTGTCCTCTGGAGAAGCGCAAAGAGCCCTCGAGACCTTTCTTCTTCGTTTGCAAATCAATTTGGTTTTCACGAGAGACTCAACCGAATCTCTTGATTATAATGTTCTACAGCTGAATGTGCCGCACACAGGCTGCCTCGTGTTTCAGTTAGCACGATATTTGAGATATCGCATTATATTTTCATAAGGGAAACTACTCAGCAACCTTGTGAGTGGTTTACTTTATGAGAAAGTCCTCCAGACTCCTTCATTTATGAAATTCGATCATTTAGCTTTCAGGTTTGATGCTACGTGTTCTTCGCAGAAGCCCATACCATCTGTAATCATATCATCCTTAATGACCAAGTGGAATTCAGTATGGAACAAGCAGATACACCGAGTTATTACTGAAAGGTACAATGAACGATAGGCAGTTGGGCTGTCCCGAGCTAACTTGTCAAGCATAGACCACGAGTTGGGCATCCTGATAAGTTTAGAAATGCCTCTCTCTGCCTGCCGTTCACAATCCTGTCCTGCTTCCTCATGTGTACACCGGTTGCAGTGTGTTGCACTTGAGGCTCAGCGCCTGTGGCTTTACCAGTTGTTTGTGGGAATCCATTGGCCTGGTTCAATTGGACAGATAAATGCGGAGAATGCACGCTGGCCTACCCCGCCATGCCCCTTTACCAGGTCACAATTGGGCTGAGTGGATGGTTGTGGAAAGTGCAGCCTTTACCCGTCACCTGCACTGCATGTGTTTAGCCGTCAGAGAACCAGCCGAATGCAGTTTTTTCGATCAATAAAAGTTGCATTTCTCATTGGCTGCCTGTTGTGCGTGAGCGGTATGTGTAGGTGATCCGCTGTCATCGCTTCTCTTGGTGAGAAGCGCAACTGTAATGCGTTACTCAGCCACTGCACATTAGTCAATATGAAGAGTGCATTCGGTGGAGTTTCAGGTGATAATCCTCTTCTTGATGCTCTGCAACTGGATATGCACTGCAAATGCTTTCTCTGCTTTCATCTCGGTAAGTATCCAAGATATATTGGTGTGTATTACGCATAGGAGCTTTGTAGGAGCTTTACAAAACCTGATTTCTTCAAACTAGCCATAAGCGAAGCAGAACACCACGAACGAGAGATTCATTTGAGTTTCCCGTGAAAACCAGATTGATTCGGTTTGCCAAAATCAGTCCAATTAGGGTTTACCTAGAATATAGTGTTGACGGGAACTCGGGTACTGTGCCTACCTGATGAGCCCCAAAAGGGCGAAACCGGCCTTGGGCTGTCGAAGTGTTTTAAGCAACCATGTGAATAGTATGTTACGTCCGTACAATGTATGGGCTATTGCAACACATTCAGTTGAAGAGGAACATCGTAAACAAGAATTTCTTTTGCTTCTCAAATTGGTGTGTGAGTGAGTGTATTTCGCAAACTTTAAGCAAGTTTTTCATTGACTAGTTTGGTCCAATTATCTGTTGGCGAGCTATTTCCTAATTACAATGCGGGTGAGATTTTTAACCCTCCCTGAAGCACATAAACAGTGAAAGTGAGCGCCACCTAAGTTTTCGCAGACTGTACCTCCATGTTGATGTAGAAAGCCCGACAGGACATACGTTTTCACTAATCTGCATGATTGCCGTCAAAATCGAACCGCGTGGACTCTCATCTCTTCGAATGATCATACTGGACGCTGTCCAACGACAGATCAAATTGTGGAATAACTCAGTTATCTGATTTTTCACGCTTTTGTGGGTATGCAGCTGCGGTAGTGGTTCTTGGCTTGTTGTACAGTCTGCTGGCCCATACCAGAGTCCCCGTTGTAGTGCTGGGAGCGTTGAGCTAGAGTGCCCGGCGTTGATTGGTTGATATTTACGTCAACCATGCCACACTGGCCACACTGTACGGTCATCGATTTGGTGCGCTCTTCCCGGCTGCCCTCTCTAGACACATGTTTGTATATGAAGAAGTTCGTAGAGTTCCACTCCTCTCAGGCGAGATGATTACAGCGCGAATTTACTGACCAGAAGGTCCATGGTTCGAAAACTACTTCCGAATCTCGAATTCTCCCACTTGGGCTTCGGCACTATCCCAGCCCCTGATCCTTTTTTTGGGTGGCATGGCAGTAAGGCGTTAAAAGGGTGCTATTACTGAACGATTTCTACTAAATTACACAGCAGCTGTACATAGTAATGACATTGGGGGCGAGAGGTCCAAGTGGTTAGAGTGCGAATTTACTGGCCGGAGGGTCTGTGGTTCGGACCCGACCTCTGCCTCTCGACTTACCCTGTCTAGACTTGGGCGACCTGGCAGTATCCCAGCCCTCGTGCCTCCTTCGTGTGGCATGGCAGCTAGGCACCGAAAGGGTGCTACAGCTGAATGATTGCTGCTCAATTCTCCGGTTCGTTCTTCATACTGTAATTGGTCGAAGTAAAATGAGTGCAATGTCAGTTTGTGTGATATGCCTATGACAACTAGGGCTCCGTCTAATTCGTTCCTATTTCCTTACTACCATGCCTCCAAAACGATTGTCTGGTTCCTACACATTCGTTGCCAGTTTATTGTTGCAGCTTCAACAAGCGGTCTTTTTAATCACCCATCACATAGGAAAGCAACAACAGCGGAAGTCAAGAAACGGACTAGACGGCTTCATGACATATTTCGTGCCTACAAACCCTATGAGGGTCGTCAAGGTTCGTTGGTTCGCGTTTTGGTCACGGAAACCAGTCATGATGGACGGTTCTGGGTAGGGCACACCAAAGCCTATGAACAGGTGAGTGCCTAATGGACAAGTAAACCAAATATTTTGGAGTCACACTGATACTTAGCTGAACAAAGATAGACTTGAAAAGCTGCACCTTTATACATCCGTGTCATCCAGTACATCATCTACCTCGGTCTCTAGATAAGCCGATCACACTGCACGGACCAAAACAATGGAGGGCAAACATGATGAACCAGAAGAGTAAGGCGACCAGAAAAGCACGCTGGGAGGTGGTTCTGTCGTATTATACACAGAAAGTTTGTTAGATGGCTTAACGGTAAATAAAGCAAACATATGGGGGGAATTGTTGAGTAAAATGAGGATTGGATCATAACGAAAACGAAGCTGAAAAACGAGGCAGATGGTCAACTTTGTTCTCAGTCATGTTCTGTCATACCAAACAGTACACTGTTTGGTATGTCATGCGTCCGTTTTGCAAGAGGAAATAAGCAAAAGGGGACGTTTGTAGGCACTTTCGCTATTCATGTCTTTCTGGCGGACCATCAGACGAAATTCTCATGCGTCAAACCAGTACTGGCCGCGCTTAATCCTCAAAAAATGAACCACACAGCGTGGGTTGTTGTAAATATGCACACCTTACTGGCAGTTTGTGAAACCATAAACAGTGTACCAAGTATAAATTGTTTATTCATCAACGTTGGGGACAGCGAACGCGGTACGTTCGCTCATTACAAACAGCCCAATCAAAGCACCAATTGCTATCAATCTTATGAATCTCAACGCTACAAACTGGAAACCGTAACCACACAACGAACTGAGGAGCATCTGATTATCGAATCCTGTGTGGCGCTTAAAGGAAACCGTACACTGACGAATGCAGTTTTGTACGACCGAACGTCAGTGGGATGCACAACAGTGAGCAAGTTATGTAGTTCAAGTAACAACTTACCAATCGACCTCGGCGACAGCGGCCTCGGAGAAAATCTGGACAAAGTGGGGTGTTAGCCGGATATGTGACGTGTAAATAGGGACAATGACTGCGCGTGCATCCCTTGCTTTCATGAAACTCGCAAACGGGAATTCGACACGGGTCAAGAACATGGGCCAGTGGACAGGCGGTGCTCCCGAGAGCACATCGTTGACTGAGAAAGCTGAAAAACGGTAAAAGACAGCAGTGGTGTTGGTAGCAGGTTCAGTAGTACATCTTAGTATAGACATATGGCATCCGGTAAGTCATTCGGTAAAACTGAAAACCGTTCATTAGCTACCACAAACAGAAGGACTAGCGATCCATTCGAGGAGGGTACTCTTGATTTTCGTGTGCAAGAACAAACAAGATGACGAAAATCGAGATGGATAGATGTGGTCAGAGATGTTGATCTTTACAAGTTCCAGAAAATTCGGAATCGAAACAGACGCTGTGAGCGACCACATTGCAAAGTATGATTATGCAAAGTCCAGCTTTACACCCCATAAAGTTAGCTACCTCCGGTCCCTCCAGTATAAACGCCACTCAAACACACGAGTCTTTTCTCGCCTTTCTCCAGCTTTGCGGGGCGAGATGGCTCAAGTGGTTAGAGCGCGAACTTAATGCCCGGAGGGTCCGTCGTTCGAACCCAACATCTGCCTCTCAATTTTTCCTGTCTAGGCTTGGGCAACCTGACAGTATCACAGCCCTCGTGCAACCTTCGGGTGGCATGGCAGTTAGGCACCTAAAGGCGATACAGCGGGTGGCATGGCAGTTAGGCACCTAAAGGGCGATACAGCTTAACGTATTCAAATAACCGAACCACCGGTGACTAGTCATGTCCTTCTATCTGATTGGGAGTAGATTTTCGCTTAGTATCTGCTAGTGGAATAGGTATTCGACCAGATGTAAACCTAAAACACGATAGGACCCCAGATGCTTAACCAAAACAGGTCTTTTGACCCTATTTTCATTCATCAGCTAGCGTAGATAGCACAGAAAGGTCGCTCACTTGGCTCTTTGATTGGCACTGTTGCTTCTCTTACGAATACACGCGGTCAAGTGCTAGTGCCCGCATATTCTTCGGTTATTGGTTTTCACATCCACTGATTCACCATCCAACAGTTTTTTCCACAAGAAATGGTGTTTAGTGATTTCAAGTTTTTTACGGTCTCATCATCATCATCATTATCAGCTACAAGCACCGCGTACTTGTCGTACGGTGGTTTTGGCTGCCACAGTTTCGTTCACCGATGATTTGTGGAGGTGAGGTAGGTAGCTGCGCATCGGAGGCTGAGCAACACTCTGGAAGTAACAGGTTTCCCGAGTCAGCTTTTCTCACCGTTGGGAGCATTATACCTTCACAGGATGGCAAAGTATGACTTCGTCTCCCATGCTAGCTATATGGAGTTGAGCACACGCAAAGGCTTCACAAATGATGGTCAGTTTATCGTAGAACTGGCACTAGCGTGATTTCCCTGGTGGAACTGGTTGTCCTTTGCCGAACACAGTCGAGGTTGTGCGTCTTGCGCCCGAAAAAGGTACTGATCGAAGCGTTGTGTACACCTACTGTTGATCTCATTGTCAGGTGGTGTAACATTACGGTGGCCAAAAAGTGAGGTTTCTCCGGGGCGAATTTCATGCTAACGACTTTTCAAGCCTGATCGTCATCATTGACTGGTGCCTCACTGCCGCACAACCACAAGGATTTGTTTCAAGTGAAATTTTATAACAGAAAGAAGGAAAAATGGGGAGAGGGCTAGCCTACCACAAACATCCGAGGTTCCCACTCCTCCAGCACTAACTCCGATAACTGATACAATCACACCCCTGGCATCGGTTAGCCGGCACATCGTCCAGTGTCTCCAACCAAACACATGGAGAGTCACGTGAACCCCTTCTGCCATGTCGAATTCCATCCACCTCTAGTTTTACGTCACTCCCAATCGGGCACCAGGCCTCAGCAGGCCGTAACTCGGCATGCGTAACACACGGCCCAGTCACCTTAGCTTGCAGTGCCAGATGCATTCTCTGAGGAAAGTACTTCGCGCTTCGGCGCCCTACGGTGGCTCGTGAGACAATGACTCGAGAGCAGCAAGCGGGATTCCGGCCTGCGAGGGGTTGCGTGGACCAAATCTTCACACTGCGTCAGGTGCTAGAACAACGCCATACGTACAAGCGACCCGCAATCCTAGTGTTCCTGGATTTCCAAGACGCTTTTGGCTCGGTTGACCGGTCTGTTCTGCTTGTCACGCTTGCCCACTAAGGAATGCCCCGTAAGTTCGTGAACATAATAAGCTCTTTGTATTCCCAGACTTCCGGACGTGTAAAAGTATACGGCGAGCTCTCCAAAAGCTTCCGTACACAAAATGGTGTCCCTTCGGAGATGCCCACTCTCACCATTCCTGTGATCGGTGAAATAATGAGACCAACGCTGAAGGGTCCTTAAAGCCCTGCTGTGAAGAAAACTTTGTCGATCTGGAATATGCAAACGACATCGTTCTCATGTTCGAAGAAGAGGAGAAGGCGCAGGTGTTTTTAAATGAACTGACCAAAAATCATCCCGTCCTTTGATATGCACTTTGCACCTTAAAAGTATCAGGTCAAGCACTTGGACGTGTAGTCACTGAACACGCCACTTACAATCCAGGAGGAAGCACTCGAAGTTGTGGATCGTTTTGTGTATCTTGGAAGTTGTATCAGTTCTAACTGTAGTGTGACGGATGAGGTCAATGCACGAATCTGCAAGGCTCGGGTCGCGTTTGCTAATCCGAGACACCTATGGCGTCAAAGTGGTGTATCCCTGATGATGTGTACCCTGTACCTGAATATCGGCTTAGAGACTTGGTAGTTGTGTTGACCAGGCACGTTAGTGTACCCACGTTTTTCGAATCAAGTTTCCTCATACTGTTACATTTCGGACGGAGCAAAGCGACGACAAACACTACCATGGGTTCAAAAGAGGGTGACTTCTTGACGAAACAACGTTTCTTGCTGGTACTGAGAAGGCACTCCCATTCAAAATCAACTGATTGATGAAGTTTCAAAGGATGACACCCCCCCCCACACACACACACACTCAACAGCCAGAATGGCTCAGCGAGCCCACTCCCCCTAGTAGTGGCGCTCATGCATCAAAGCCGTTACACAGTTCCCGAACAAGCTGAACATGCCATCGCCTCCAGTGCGCTTGACTGTGTGTCCCACACTCTCCCACTTTCCGGTGGTCAAAAATGTATCAGCTGGAACTAATGTACCCTTGGCACATAGTTTATAGCTAACCGACTGAACTGGGAATGTTAGTTTGATGAGAGCAATGACCTCCTCCAGTTTACGATGTACTTGCGCTGCTTCCTTCCTGTATCGTTACGACTTGGGTAGGCGAACACCATTGAGCTGCACTCACATCAATATGGATGTATATTCCCTGCGTATGTTTGTTCTCAGCGTTAGAATGTTAGACGCTATTGAGTCCTTCGACCAAGGTTTCCTCTTCCAGTACCGAATGGTATTTTTCTCTCAATTACCAGTGAACCCGCGGTTGAAAATCAGGTCAGTCATATAATTTCGTCGTGATTATTCTGCGATCTGTTTTCAGTTATATACGATACGGAGGGTGAAGTTTAGCAACAGATGTACTTTTTGCAACGTTGAGTTGTCTGAAATGTTTCTTAGATGATCATAATGGGAGTTGTGATCAGTGAACACAATTGTCAAGGATGTATTTGCTAAACTGGTTCTGTTTCGTGCTTAGGTTGGTGACTTATCGGCTGGTTTAGTGGAATCAGGACACGTACAACCCACACTCTGATGATCTCCAACCGAAGCGTTGTGAGCTAGTGGGCACGTGCTGTCTGAAGTGTCTCTACTTTTAGGCTGACGTCCACGGAATTCGACGCAACGTGAAGGCCCCATCCGTTTCGTGAGAAATGTGCCATTGATTGAGGGTGCTCGTATGGCATAATGGCGAGCCGCTGTTCAATCTCTTGGGAAATTTGCAGAACTTGTAATCTGTTACAGACAACTCACTGAAGATGGAAACAGCACATTTTACGGAACTTAGAAGAACTGTTAACTGTGGGAATTCCCGAAAGTAAAGTAGGCTCCTTTGAACAACCGACCCAAGCCGTCAAAGATGTCTGGTGGTCCTTTTGTGGTGTATACTATGTTCACTCGCGTTGTACTCGTGAGCCCCTTTCAAAACATTTGTCGCGTATAGTTTTGATGGTGGCATCGGTGTGCCATCAGTCTGATACTGTTACTTTTGAGCGTACTAACTGTCGAACCTACTTCGCAATCGTTCGCGCCAGTGACCCAATGTGAGCCCGTACGGTCTTACACAGCTGAATAGGATCACTAAATTTCATTTGAATAGAACAATATAAATAACGCAGATCAAGTGACCTAGAATAGACTTCTTTGCAGAAAGGGCTTATTTTGCTGTCATGTGCAAGCATTAAAGTGATCGCTCCTATTCAATGAACTGTACTTCAAAGTGACGTTGGACAATACGCCCGATAACTAGTAGTTTGTTTCATGTTTGGTTCTTTGCCACAGTGATTGATTGTTGTAACATTAGGGGGCCTCTCACCGGAGCATCCATTTGTCGGATTTTAGGTCTAACCAAAAACGTTTTACTGCTATACACCCCTCCATATCTGACCGGTGAAACACTGACTCAAGGTGGCGAGGGAATCCGAATGAAAACTTTTTTTTGCCGAATCGTACAAACACCCGAAAACGGGGGTAAACGAACCCCGGGACAGTGGAATCACAATAGTGGCCTACGAAATCGGAGGTATTCATCCGTAATACTTTGACTGCTTGCATTTGATTGACTTCAATCGCCTCCAAACATTCGCCGCCTTTCCTGTCACACTTGCTTTCCAGGTCCTTGTACCGAAAATTCCCGAAGTTTATGGTCGTATCATCCTTGTCCGCATTACCGAATGCGACAAATTCTTCATGCGCTCTGACATTGTTGATCCTGGACCTTTGGACTCGTTGGTTTTCCAAGGTCCTCTGCACACGTCACCGACCCTCTCTACTTTGGAACCGTTAGTAAAAACGACATGCTCAACCGCGATTGCCCAACCCGTTGTGCATGCGGTCCCGCCAAGTTCACCGAAGCAGGAAAACACTAACTGGGTGAGTTGGCCTTAATTCGTCAGCCGGCTGTCTGTCGGTGTTGTTTGGATTTCGGAACAGTGTGGAGCAAAACATCACTAGTGCCACTGGGTATTTCACCTATACCAACCTGTTTTCAATTTCAGATTAGAAGCAGTATGTTCGGTCCGTGATTAGTAATTGCACTTCCCTTACTGAGCAAAGAATTTTAGCTGTACGTAGTCGAAGGTGCGAAATGCTACCTACAGGTACCCGACTCCTGATAAAATAGGACCGTTTTTTTAGACTGGTTCTCAGTACTTTTGTCGTCATATCAAATGTTAGCAACGGACTGTGAATCTATCGACAGTCGATTCGTATAGTTCGCAATTGACCGGAAGGTCTGTGGTTCGAACCCGAGCTCTGCCTTTCAACTTGCTTACCCAGTTTAATGAATTGACTTTCTAATAACTCGTATCTCATGGTTATTATTCTTAGCTTGGTATTAAAACCAAAAATTTCTCAAGGTCCGGCACGACGGGGACTGACGTGTAGTCTGAGGGTTCACCATTTATTCACAACGGAGTGTTGAATAGTTGAAACATTCACTTCAGAGGGTATTATTGGAACCGTTTAAAATCACCTGATTACAAGTGTGTGTGTCCTGACCCCTGTTTAGAAAACATTTGATACACCCCTTATACGTCTCCCTTCCAAGACACGGGGTTCTCTTATTCGCGGAGACATTTCCTAATTCCCCGAAGGTGTTTATTTTAGATGGAGTATTTTATATCGGTCACAACTGTTTGCCGTTCGGCAAACAGTCTGCTCGTCTGCTCACATCACTGCTGATGAACCACCGTTTTCCGTCTAACTAGTGTTCGTCGCGATTTTGGTCGCTCTCAGCGCAAAACGCCAGATTTTTCAACTCCTGGCGTTAGGTGATATGCTACTTAATACACCTCGTGTTCTGGTGGATTCAACTTACTTCAGTCCGCTGTGTCTCAAGAGTGGAGACTGACCTAATATGTGTTGCTAAGGCGAGATGGCCCAAGTGGTTAGAGCGCGAATTTGCTGACCTGAAGGTCCGTGATTCGAGCCCGACCTCTGTCTCTCAACTTTTCGTGTCTAGGCTTTGGCAAGTATCCCAGCCCTCGTGCCTGCTTCGGGTGGCATGACAGTTAGGCTCTGAAAGTGTGCTACAGCTGAATGTTTTTATTTTTTCATGTACACTTAATGAGTTAGAGGTTCTATGCTTCGTTTGTCTTTAGTTCGTTGGAGGCTTATTATGTTCTCCTCAGACGTAATGACCCCTGCGTCACAATGAGGCGGCCTGGTGCGCTACATTCAGTGTAAGAACACCACTATAAACGGGCAATTTAGCTAAGTTCATGTGACTCCCTTGTCAAAACCAAATTTATGTGCAACCGAGAGCATTTGTCGAAATCTGTCCAATCTTCATGGTGCAATTTTCTCCTCTCCGTAGAAATCACTTTTAGTTGGTCTTTTGTGGCAGATTTCACCAGTGAATTCTCTCGCTCTCAGAAGAGACCACCTTCTGGATAAATGGCTGGTACCACGAAAGCTTTTTAGGAAACCTACCAATGGTCTGGTATGGCTGAACGCTTGCTAAACCTACTTGGATATTCTTCACATCTGGTTAGCGTGACCTTGGGGCGAGGATCACGTGTGGCATGAGAGTGACAATCGGCTATTGAGAAAAGACGAGATGGCTCACGGGATCATTCCATGTGTTTTCATGGATGCCGAGGTGGTCGAATTTCTTGGTTTCATTGAATCAATCAGGGTACTGTGCAACTGCTGTTGACAATTTTTTTTAAATCGTTCAGCTGTAACCCTTTCGGTGCCTAACTGCCATGTCACCCGAAGGAAGCACGAGGGCTGAGATACTTGCCCAAGCCTAGACAAGGGAAGTCGAGAGGCCGCGGTCGGGTTCGATCCACGCATCTTCCGGCTAGTAAATTCGCGCTCTAACCACTGATCCGTCTCTGCTGTTGGCAACAGTCTCTTATTTCCTCAAAATCTCAATCACCGTAGCTTTTACCGGGAGCTGTTTCAACTAAATCAATAGCACCGAACCATGGATCGATGGGTCATTCAGTTCTGCTGATACCTATCTATATGGTTGTCCGTTTGAAGACCTCACCATCTAGGGGTCTGTTTTTGAACCAAACCACTGTACCATTAGAAATTCGCTCATGTCGACCAGAACTACCTAGTGACCAGCTTTTAATGAGTTGGTCACTATAAGGTCTCCTGGACGGCAGTTGTTTCTAAATTCACACGGATGACCCATTCATCTGTTGCGACTTGATGAGGTTTTGCCCATATGCGCCTAGACATGCCAGGCGATTTTAACGAGCCATTTACATCTCCTGGTACCATTATTGCCGTGGTGGAATAACGAGAAAGGTAGCGGAAACACCAGTGGCGCACAACGCGTCATTTCACCCCCGTTTAGTTCTGAACTACAAATGAAGTCTCATAGATTGCGTACGCTACTCATGAGGTTACAGAAAACTCTTCGACAGTCCACGACTGGTTTTGCGCTTCTTGGGGCTCATCAGGTAGGCGCATTCCCCCGCGTTTCCGTCAACCCTATGTTCTACTTGAACCCAAATTGCACAAAATTCGCACACCAATTTGATTTTGATGACAGACTCATCTGGAACTCACTTGAATATCTCTTTTATAATGTTCTTATCAAGTGAATTCGCTGCACCAGACTGCTTCAAATATCATTTAGTACAATATCCGAGATATCATAGATGTAATACATTACTCATTTCCTCCCTTCCAGAGATAACCCCTCCAGTTTGAAGTTTTTATTTCCAGAACGAACCACTTTTGGTCTTCAGTTTGTGCAACAATCTGCGATATGTCTTCGTTTTCTTCCTCTTTCCAGGTACTTCACCTCGGAGTTGTTCTGCTGGTAACCTATATTATACTCAAAATTTGCGAAATGAATGGCTACTTTCAGCGAGTCTTCGTGACATAGCCTCCTCCACTTCACAACTCACTGAATGCTGTGAATATTGTACATTATCTCTTCCCTTTTTAAGTCAATTGATACAGCTAACAGAATGTCTTCGCAAATATTTCTTCACAGTTGAATCATTCTTAGAGGGTAGGGCCATTCGTTCGGCTGGCGTGTTGTGACGCATGACCATTCATGTGTCTTAGTTTTTGAATGACCGGTCCTTGGAAGCGCCGAGCATAATGGAGGTGGAGAGCATGAAACGAAGTCGGAAAAGATCATTGCAGTCTCTGCATGGACGACTTTAGTGCGGCTGGCTGGTTGTCAGTCTACCTTGGGGACGTCCACGTACGATGCGACAACTGCATCAGGTCAGGCAATAACTCACCCCGGTCCCAGGAGGTCCAGGTGTTTGGAAGGCCACACCACCTCTAGGAAACCTCAAGCGGCCTTGCCCTGACACCTGCTATGGAGGGGCTCCTTTCTGAATGAAAAACCAATTCGTTTGAAGCGAAAGCCACTGAAATATGATTCACTTGGATGAATCTTTTCACTCCATATGAAGATGATAGGACCTATTTGCAATCAACTGAATGGAGCCTTCCACCTGGTTGTGCTGAATTTAAAAGTGCTTTTGATTAGCCTCGCTTTGGTTGGTTGATCAGAACTGCAGGCGTTTTGAGCCCTTGGGTCCATTTGGTGTGTTTGTGAACGATAAACAACCGAACTGGTTGAGTATGTGTATATCATGAGTGTGTGCATGTCATGACTCGAACAGGACCAGAATATCGGAGCACAGAGATGGAGAATGTAGACACGTTAAGAATCAGTGAGCAAGAACAAACAACACTGGTTGCGAGAAATTTGTCATGGAAGGGCAGGGGTCGATACTCCATCAATCGACATGAATGTGCCAGTCTTGATGTTTCACCATAATGTTGATTTGTTGGTATTCCTGCTTCCGTCCGAACGTGTGTCATCCTTCTCAGGCTCACAAAAGCTAAATCGTGAAAATTGGCTCCAATCGAGTAGCTGGTTGATCTCCAACAGTTTCTCGAACACTGTGGCACCTTTAGGAGGCCGACGACACATGTGTCCTCATATACAACACCAGTCTTCGACTAAGTCAGTAGCATCTGCGGGTGCGCGAAGACTTACGCCGAATTATCTCCTGGTTACTCAGCAGGGTCGTCTCTATCACTTTTCTTAATGGGTTATCAAAGGAACCCTGTTTATGCCTACCACCGGTGTGCAACTCCTTGGGAATGACAGTACACAGACGATATCGTCCTACTTGGTTCAGACCCCATTCCAATAATCTGATGTACAATTCCACCACACCGTAGGGAGGGTTCAGACCCCATTCCAATAATCTGATGTTACCACGGGAAACGTTGCTGGAAGCTGCTCGAACTATTTCTAGCTTAGACTGGATGGATTGACGTGACAGGATTATCGGTGGATGACAGTTCGCTCAATGTTGTTTCGAATGTCACTGAGGCGGTCCCTACTCGACTTTTTGCATCCAGTCTCCCGACAACAAGTCCAGTAGGTTGAAAAGTTTTTTTTGTAATTCTCCGCAGCTGAGAAGCAAACGTCGCTAGTGTCAGACGCCACTTTGGTGTCTGTGCCTTTGGACTCCGGGAATACCACGAGCTCTTTTTGAAGGAGTAGTTTGGCACAGTGGTTTCAAAATAGCCGCTGTCGGTTTCCGCATTTCAGTAATGTTCATCAGATCACCGAGCTTGTTAGTTTCGGTGCACAGTCAAAACTGTTAAGCCGATCCCCAAAGTAGGGCGTTCTACCCGCTCCCGGGACGAACGCATTTAAAATTTGGCAGGTCAGATACCATAATAGTGGTCGGTAATCAGCAGAGACGATGGGTGGCACCCGTTGTGGGCTAGTGGGCGCCCTCTCAAAGGGTATCACGTGACTGTACCGAAGCAATTCTAGTTGAAGACGGTCCATGGTTAAGTGGTGAACCTGTTGAGAGGGTTTGCCCATTTTAATGCAGCCTATCAACACGGGCTTTTGCCTTTATATTACTCCCAAACTAAAATGCTAACACGATGTTTACAACCTATGCAGCATGATTAATAAGTGGCCCGAGACGGGTGTGACAACTAACTGTGTCATTCCAATAATACAAGCAGAGGATCCAACGCGTCCGAATACTGGAAAGAAAATGCTACACAGTATAACGGATAGGTTAGTAATCAGAGGCCCAATGCTGTTCATCGTAAATCACGCGAGAGTGTGGGCATAGATGTCAAATTTGTTCCTCGGAAGCGCAATTGGACTGGTCAGTGTGAGGCTTCGACCTTTCGCAGATTGAATGTGAAGCCGAACCGCGCTTGTCGCGTTACTTATTCTAAGCCACCAGTATCATCGCTGTTTTAATTGACAAAGCAAACACAATTTAAAATAACATTTGTTACCGAGTGATGAGGAACTGAGTCGAAAACCATGACGTCTTTGCAGATGGGAACACCAGAACTCCTTGTGGTGGAGTTCCATTCACCCGAGTAAATGGCTTGTCGGTGTCTAGTGGGTATTCAGCCGTCGTGAGTCATACTGAACGGTTATTCAACCACAAACCAATCGGTGAATAAGCACCAACTGTGCGCACAATGTTGCCTTGGCTGCGTTCCGTTTGCATATCACAGTTGGGCTTCTCTGGTCTTTCCTTAATGCCTAATTTCCAGAATTTCATCAAACGTCTCAGAAAGCATCAACCAAACGAACGAAGCTAGAATGTCGAATTCGTTGGCATCTTTACTGAACTTCACGCCTCTAATAATCTGTCAAAGTCGGGATAAAACCCGTCTGTTTCCACGTGCAGTTCAGTTTATTGACGTCCTGGGTTGCTACACTTGTTAGCTTCACAATTGGTGACTTTTTGGGCAATATTCTGATTCATTTTGTGTCACTTCGATGGGAGTCTCTTCAAGGGATGTGAATCTAAGTTTTCCTTTACCAAATTCCTTCCACCAAAATAACGGATTTATTCTGTGAGATTTTGGTAGTTTGAGGAAGTTTGCTGGCTCCTTGAGTAAAGCTTTGCAGATAGGACTCCCACTTTTCTTCTGAGATAGGGAAAGGAAGAAGGCCTTCGCTGCAGAGTTGTGTATCAAAAAAACCAACTGAACACAGTGACAGACTATTGGACAGGGAAGCATAACTCTCCTGTTCATCTTGTTTACAAGACTGTATATCCATCTTCTTGAACGCGTCTTCCTGAACTTCCCTGGATATTCATTGACTGTTATTCAACTGCTACAAGGCGACTCCATAAATTTTGTAATAAATCTCACTTTTCAAGTGACGCGAAGCGGACTTGCGAGAAAACACTACTCGCGTGCTTCATTAGTAGTATCCCCATTGCACTAGTAGTCTGAGAATGTATGGAGAATTTCAGTGAAAATATAGTCTTGTCAGTTATGCCAGTCTACGCTGTTTTGTGAATATATATAATGCTTCAGTGAATACGTTGAGAGTACTACTCCGGAAGTTCTGCAGATTTCAATGGACGCATCTTTGAGGCGGCTGGGGTGAGGTGCATATTTCGTTCCTGTTTGCGGTTAATTGAACGCGTGGGCGAGAGGCAGTAAAGGAATGGTTGTAAACTTACAATCAAACTGAGTGTGGCAGTACCGTGCCATCTTTGGCACGGTTTTGGACAGCCCTGTAGCGGACGTCATACTGAAAGTCATCGGGCTGGATGTGCAGTTCTTTAGGCAGTGGCATTTATTTTCAGGTTGGCCAAGGAAATCCGTAAAGCTGGAATGAATCTGACGTAAAATCGCAAGCATTTTGTGTCCGATTATGGATCACTGTGGGTGCAGATCACACGTCAGGTGGAGTGGATAAAAGCTAAGCAGGCCCTCCAAACCAGGTATTGTGGAGGGTTGAAGCTAGGGAAGACGAGGGAATGGGATGATATCAGCAAGGCCGTCAGACAGGATAATGTGCTTTAACACAGATAGGGGAAATAACTAACGTGTACCATAATTATTGTGTTTACAACAGATGACTAATGGGACAGGATGGGGATGGATTTGTGCTTAATAGACCAGCAGTGGAGCAGGGGTTGTTTGTTAGAATATGATATTAAAGGACAGGAGGTCTAGAGTGAACCGGCATAAGCACGCAGAGAGTTAGCGTGTTGTGGGAATCAAGCATATAAGGACTAGCGGTATTGGTCTTCTGAGGTTATAAGATAGTTTATCTGAAATTTTTACGTGGGTTGGACAGCACCGTATTTAAGGGGAGAAAATGAATGAAAGAGAACTGACCACAAGTTCCCGAAGCACCGCTATTAGCCCCAGTCTACAAGTGTCACGTGGCAAAATGGCACTTAGGCACTGGTCTTTTTTGCTTGCGGTTGAAGGTGAGAAACATATAT